TAATTTATTGTTTTAATATTTTATATATATTATATTATTTTTTAATTTTAAAAAGTTATTAAAATATAAATAATAATTATTAATATTATAATAATTTAAAATATATAAATTAATATATATTATATTATATATATATATTTTTTTTTTAGTATTAAGGTGACTTCTTTGGTTGTAGCTTTTTATTAATACTTATATCAAGTACATGTTTTATATAGATGTATTCATAATGAACTATCAGATGAGTGTACAACTGGCTATATATGTAACTTTTCTATATTACTTATTTAAGGAATTCACCTGAAGGTTCTCTATCAGTTGCTGTACCTAACATTTTTGCTTAGATGTTCTATTTAAACCCTATGACCTGACTCTGGTATTAATTTCATCAGATTACAGACCTAGATCTATTTTTTTTAATCATAGAACTATAATCCTTAGACTATTTTTATCCTTAAAGTAAACTTACCAGAATGAGCCATATTTTCTTTTACTGCTAACCTGATTTGATGCTATAGTTAAGACCAATACTTGTAGTTAGGGTTATCTTTTAAACTACTATTATTCTTGTAAAGTTCACCCAAACTCTAATACCTATCTTTTTGACTTTTTCTTTATCATCTCCTACTAGTCACAACTCAGAACTAACTGACTTCCCAGACTTTCAATTCAGATGGCCTAGTATAGTATATTTATGTATTCTTTTCCTTTGATGATACTGGTGGCCTGGTTGGTTATATGCTCCTTTATACATTTTGTCATTTAGTTTATTCAACAGTTCCTATGAAGGTGTTTCATAGGCTTTTATTGGCCCAATGACATTATCAAAAGTTTGTGCTATCTTTTTACTTGGGATTTCCAAGTAGGTTTCTGTCTTCTAAGTTTCTTAGTCTTCTATACCTGGTGGTCTTATCACAGGTTTGCATTGAAGCCTTATATGACACCAGTTTTTTTACATTTCTCTATATACATGTAATGTTACACTTTGCATAAATGCCTTAAGCTTCCAATGTCAGATGAGGTCTGACTTGATATATTTAAGATTACAGATGCCCCAAACCCAACTGATTGGCAAGAGACAGTTATCATAACACAGATATAATTTTCAAACTTCATCATCTATAGAAATTGAACCTTAGACCTACTACTTGAAGGTTAACAACTTATTCATTTTACTAGGTTACTACATTCCTATTTTATATTATATTTAAAAAAAAAGATTCATAAAAATATAATAAAAAACAAGTATTTATAATTTAATATAAAAGCTTATTAGAGATAAGAAAATAATAGTTTGCAATAGTTTTAATATAACTATATTTAGTATTACAATAATTTTATATTTTATATATATTATATATAAGTAATAAAGTATTATATTATAATTTTAAAGCTGTGTTGTCATCCTTCAAGTGGCAGGTCTAAGATTCAAATTCTACTTATGATAAAATTTAGAAATTATATTTGTATTATAAAAACTATTTCCAGTCAATCAGTTGGCCTCATGTGGCTGTAATTCAGGTATACCAAGTTGGGTCTTACTGATATTGGAAGCTCAGAGCATCTATGCGAAGTGTATCATTACATGTATATAAAGGAATGTTAATAACTAGTGTTGCATAAAACTTTGGTACAAACTCATAATAAGACCACCATCATAAAAGACTAAAAAACTGAGAAAACAGAATCCTACTTGGAAATTCCTAAGTAAAAAGGTAGCACACACTTTTGACTATGCTGTCAGACTAATAGAAGCCCACAAAACACCTTCATAGAAACTGAAGATTAAAACTAAACATCAAGATGTATAGAGGAGTACAGACCAACCAGGCTGCTGGATTCATCGAAGAAAAAGGATACTAAGATATACTATACTGGGTCATCTGAATTGGTAGTCTGGAATAAGACTGATGGTTCTAAGTTGTGGTTAGTAGGAAATAATAGAGAAGATGTTGGGAAGATAGGTACTGGGATTTGGGTAAACTTTACAAGAGTAGAAATAGTGTAATGTAGCAGTTTAAGGTTAGCTCTGACTGCAAGTGTTAGGTAACTATAGCATGTTATATAAAACTAGATTAGCTGTATATAGGACACAGAAGGCTCTAGTAACATGTTTCTGAGAATACACTGCATGAAATAAGATATGGGGTTCTAAGGATATGGATAAGTATCTAGACCTTCTCAACTAACTTATGTAGTGAAGATGATCTAGTGATACAGTAAGATTACAGTACAGAGGGTTTAAATAGGCAACACTTCTAGTTGGATTGCAGGTATAACAGCTAGTATAGAACCATCAGTGGACTACTTAATTAGACACCAAAAGTGTACATATGACTAGTTGTATTCTCTAATATAAGGAGACTCCTTTGAGGCCTCAGTCATGAGTTTCTATATTCTAACTATACTGAATAAAAAGCCCTAGCTCCAAAAGAAACTAGTTTAATACAAAAAATCAATTTGAAAGCTATAAAGAGTTGAAAAAATGTTTTTTTATTTACAAAAAAATATAATTTATTTAATAAATAGTAAATATATAAATAATTTAATATTATTAAAGAAAAATAATATCTAAACAGATTAACTAAATTATATATAATTTCAAATTAAATTGCAAATAATTACATTAATATTTAAGACTTTGAAATAAACAGTTATTTTATTCATATATAAATATTACAATAATAAATTACTATTATTTAAACAATATAGTTTTTTTTAACAAAATAATAGTAGTTTTTAATATTTCTTTAAAGACTGTATTTATTTAAATAAAACTATTTTTAAACTAGTATAAATTTTTCAGTTATTTTTATATATAACTTAATATAATTATAAAAAATATCTTAGTCAGATTTGAATATAATCAGTATACTAAAAACATTAATATATTTATAACCTATTAAAAAACTATTTATATAAAAATAAAATTTTATTATTTTAATAATAAAAAGAAGAGCAATATTGTTAATAATATTAAAAAAAGTTACTTATTCAAAAAAATAGTTAACTTTAGTATCTTTTCTGTAATAAATATTTTAAAAACACCCTTAAATTTAATATAAACAGTTTATATTTCTTTTTTATATGCATTTTTAAACAAAAATCTTTGTTAATAAAATATAACATTTCAAAAAAAAGAGGTGTAATGATCTAGTGAAATGAACAGGTTATTAACCTTTAAGTGACAGGTCCAGTATTCAAATTCCATAAACAGCAAAATTTGAATAATTATATCTGTATTATGGTAACTGTGTTTTATTGATCAGTTTGATAACAAAAGAAGATCTATAATCTTAGGCACACTATCTCGAATAGAAACTTAAAGCATCTATACAAAGTATATTGTTATATATATATAGAGAAATGTTAAATAACTAATGTTGTATAAGACTTTAGTGCAAACCCATAATAAGACCACCAGGTGCATAATATTAAGAAACTGAAGCACAGAAATCTACTTGAAAATTATGAGTAAAAAGATAATATAAACTTTTAATAGTACTACCAGACTATTAGAAGCCTCAGAAGAAATAACTAGGATAGATCAGATGACAATATGTGTAAAGGAGCACATACTAACTAGCCTGCCAGAAATTATCAAAAAAAAAAAATCTTAGAATACCATACTAAGCCATTTAGATTGGTAGTCTAAGAAATTTTGTAGGTTCAAAGTAAGGAGAAGATGTTGAAAAAGGAAAATATCAAGGTCTTAGTGAACTTTACAAGGGTATAACAGTTTAATGATTAACCCTAACTACAAGTGATGGTCTAGACCAGAGCAGTATCAGGTTAACTGTAAATATAAGATACAGAAGACTTCAATAAACTTAGTATAAAGTTAAACATGACTTAGTGACCATAATATATTTGCAGATTAACACTGCAGTTTATAGGGTAAGAATGGATATAAGAACTAGAATGTTTAAATAAAGAGCCCACAGATGGGTTCTAAATATGGCAACTAGTGTAGAACCTTTAAGCAGACTATTTAAAATAGACAATGACTAAAGTTGTATGAGTAATTAGTTGTACACTCTTTTTATAATTGCCTTTGTAACTGTTATATACAATAGTTATATGCCAACATATTATCAATAAACTTCTGGATTGCAATTACTCACCTTAATATTAAAAAAAACATTTCAAAAAAAACAGAAATAGTAATTAAAACTTACTATGTAACATATATGTTATTATGTAATACTTTTTTACAAATTCTATATTTCTATTTTCTTTTCAAAACATTTTACAAACTTTATATCTCCATTTCCATTTCACAAAATTTTACAAATTCTATAACTTCATTTTCTTTTCAAAAATTTTTACATATTGTGTCTACAAAGTTAAAAAGCACTTTAAAAAATCTGCATAATACGTACTTGGATTTCTTTATACTTAATAGTAGGCCCAATATTCTTAAAAATTAAGAACTCTTGGTCAACATTATCATAATTAAAAGAATGCCATCTGTCTTACATGCAAAAGCAACACTATAAATCAACACACAACATCATTTAGATGAAGGAACTTTGGTTTTATTTCTGTTGAAAAAGATATAGTTAGACTACCAATCAGTATAAAATTATGTATTTAATCTTTTCGTTTGATTTACCATTTGCTAATAAACAAATTCGGAAAGCACAACTCGAAAATCTTAAAATCAGTAAACACGATCGTAGACGTGTATGTGTTCTCATCCATTAAACCTATCGAGTTTTTCCCATGACCGGCTTGCAACTGCATGAGCTTAATTTCAAATATTCTTTTTATGAAGTCAGATTGTTCTGCATCAAAACCTTTGATTATTATAGTTTATCACAGATTTAATAATATGGTCTTGATTTTGTGCTAAATGTGAAGTTACTGTATCAGTAAACCAAATGGATATATCATAAATAGATATAACTACACATATTTTCTTTACTGTGTAAATTTTTTAATTTATTCTTTAAGCCAATCAACATTAATGCGAAGTAAAGATTAAGATTGAGAAGTTATTTTTAGTTCGTTGAAAAGTTTTTGTTTACCGAGGAATTATTAGCACTTATATTGATGACATCTGCATCGTTTAATCTGTTTAATAAAGTAATTTTTGTATATGAAAATGATTATTTGTAGTCATCAGTAAAAATTATTGTAGTACGTACCTTTCTTCGAAATCTTCATTAGTCAACTCCACTTCCTCTTTGTTATCAATTTAACTTGCCAGTACAACTTCAATAGTTTCATAAATTTTCTACAATTTATCACTGATCTTTAGAACAAAACAAAAAAAACTCACATTCAAGCATTAGGCAAGTTCACACTATCGTGAAACGCCCGACTTTTTTTCATCCCCATCTTTCCTATAGCATGATTTCTTTGAGCTATTGTTATTGAAATCTTTCAAGTCTGGAAAATCTAAATCTTTCCGCTAGATTATAATGCATACTATGTATCAATCAAACTGTACAGAAAACCCTTTTGGCTTACAGACTATTGATTGTATACCTTCGTAGAGCGTCCAGAAAATGGACTGTTTTGCAGGATATTGTATCGCCTTTCTCCAACCACGTAACCTTGGATTCTGCTGCTCAAATGGCATAAGCACAGCCAAGGATGAAAAAAAGGCATTTGGGTGGAATGAACTATCGCTTCTTCAAATTTGTTGACAACATATTTGAGCTGATAAAAATATATTAATTTACATAATCCAACAATATATACGATAAACATGTGAGAACTCACATCAGAAATTGCTATTTATAATCAGGTTTTCTTTATAATAAATCCTAAGGTATTGCATACTTTCCAAAACATCTGTACTATTTCTGATTCTTTGTCGTTCTAAAATTATTATTCAATGCAATGAGTTATTAAGAAATTAGTAATGTTTATTAATCAATGGTAATATGTGTTAGGGCAATTTATGCTAGAGCATAACAGATTAGACAAAGCGCGGGAACTATCGCTTGGGCTGGCATAGGAACCAATCCAACGTGTCTATCAATAGACAGAGACATCCTACCAAGGTCGAGGCTTGTTCAACAAATTTCAAGAATCATAATATTAACAAATTTTACCTTAAACACAGATGTCAATTATTGAGCCTTCTGCTACGCAGAGTCTCCATATATGTTGGCATTATTGGTAATGTTGCAAATAAGCTTTTCCATGTGCTATGTTCGACTGGCTTGCTACAGAAATCAGAGTACTGTGACCTTCACCTCAAAAAACCGAGAAGTGACCATTCTGAGGAGTTAAACTCCTTAAAGTAATTTTCTCTTGGCTGATAGTTAAGGCAGATAGTGTAAACATCGAATGAAATATGTGCAAGATGAGATGTTTTTACACATTGGAAATTTCCATAACGGGTAGATCAGTTGTACAGACGCTTATGTCGATTCGTTAATAACTCGTGTCATAAGATGATTGACCAAATTGTGTATGCCCCACATCTAGAGTACATGTTTCTGAAAAATGGCACTTTGTACAAATACATGTATTAAATAAAAGGCTAAGACTCGGTCATGCTTAAAAGCTATTAAAATACTTTGCCGATATATATTCATACATAATAAAAAAATCGGGATATTTTTATTACTAATTTACTGAGATAATAACGTCCTGAAAAAAGTCATGAGAGAGAGTTGAGCCAGGGTATTATGTGTAGTCTAACTAGGCCACTTCAAGTTAATTTTCTGTTTAACATAACATAAAATAGCTTGTAAGAATGGGGGAAAGGGTATTAATAAAATACAAATAATAAAAATACAGCTGTAAAAAATCAAACTAAAAAGCAAAAAGTTAATATTGCAATTTGATTGGTCAATATTATGTGTTCTTTTCATACAAAAATTTAAAAAATAGAGGGGGAAGAATATGTTAAACAGAGAATCAATTGTCTGGCTTTAATAACGTTTACACATAATTTCTATTCATATATTTAAGTTTAAATCCATGTGCAGTAGTATCTATGAATTAACTCAAGGCAATTCAAAAGACGATTATATTTTGATATTTGATAAATTTGTTTATAAAGAACTGAAAGCATAGAGAATGTGAAAATTACAAGCTATATAATACTTCTAAATCTTGGCGTTCAACGTGTCTTAGAAATAGTACAAAGATGAACAACTGGAAATAGGAATATTCAATTTTAATGTTACAAAATACGAGTGTAACCGAATGGTTTCCCTCAAAAATTGGGGATAAACTTCTAACAACCTGACTAGTCCGCAAGATATTTTAAAAGTAAAATTATTATTTTTTGTGTATATTTTACTCAGTTCATACCGTTTATATGTAGCTTCTATTAATATATTTCATATATTTGATAAGCTCAGAAGCCATATGCAATTAGAGCATATATGTTGATACTTGTGAATTTGGTTTTGAAATAAATTTATATAACGGAAAATGCGCGATATAACTTGGTGTCAAATATGTGACCATTTAAACGCAGGGATAGAGAGGTAGGCGCACCGAATATTTAATTAATTGGTGGCGCAGCCACAATTAATCATTGTAAAACACATACGAAAGTATATTTGACGTTGTTACGAAAAATGTCGTAACAAATTGAACCTTTTATAATGATTACTACATTTTGTAGAGTCAAAAGCTATGACTATATTTTTTGTAATAGCCTTTTGGCCTATTTGAGTCTCTATATAAAGGGTTATAACTGCTAATAAAAATAAAACTTTTTTGAAGTATTCTTCCTTGTACTAGTCACACTTTAGAGTATTTTTTTTTGTCTTTGTGCATTGAAATAAATAACTGATTTGGTATTTAATGTTTACAGCACTGAGTTAAATTTGGCTGGAAACTATAAAAGCTCTTTCCTGCCGTAACAATATCAAAAACAGATAATTTAACTTTATATGTAATTGAATAAAAAAATTAAAACCATCAACCGATTTCTTTTAGCAGCTTGCACAATTTATGTGAAGGCACATACATCAAATAGCGCTCTAAATATCTATTTTAAATTGATTCCAATGAGCGCAAAAGTTTCAAACAAGTGTTACATAGAGGATTTTTAATCTAAAGATGATCACGAACCAAGCGTTGCTCAACAGTTAACAATAAATTTTTTAAATTACAGTAAGCGATAAAACTATACATTTTTTTTTACTTCTTTATATTGCAAATTGAGCAGAAATCAGAAATTTTTTTTGTGAAAAAAAAAAACTCGTTCTGAATGCTTAACATGTATTAAAGTAAAAAGCGAATATATGAAAAAAAGTTTTACTTAATCTGATTTTAAGAAAAATGTTATTGATGTTTGTATATTTCTTAAAAGTTGGGTTTTCTTCGCAAACATTTAGTTTCACCACTACTAGGAACATGGATAACTCTTTTTATATATGTTAATAAGATTCAATGCAATAATAAACATCCATTTCTTAATGAGCCTCAACAAATTATATACCCGTCGTGTTATCTAATCCTGAAGTGAAATATTGTGATTATAAGGAAGCTGAGATATATTTAAGTATGGACGAATATGATTCAAGTGCTAGTGATGTTGAGATTACAAATGATAAAGTTCATAATAGTTAGATATAGAAGTCATGGATTCTTAACAAAGTATTGTAATTTTCTATAACGAACTTTTTATTTCTTTCAGAACTGTAGTTCGTCATAGAAAGAGTTGGCTTTATTTTTTACATATTAATACAAATAATTATAAGTGATAAATTTTATTGAAAATTTGGAACTTTTTTCTCAACGAAAAAAATAGTTAAACGTAATTGGCCTATTAAAGAAAAAATTTCGAGAAGGATAGTATAATGATATATCTAAATTATTTTTGAAAAAAGTAATTTTGCAAAAAATTTCGCCGTTGCCATATTTTTTACATGAACTTTCACAAATAATTACATTAAATTATTTTATAATATTTAAGAATTCAAATAGTCTCGACAATAATTTCAATAATTTCTCTAACTATAGAAAACTGATTTCGGCAGACTAGTTGTCGAAATAATTATTTATTAAGAAAATTAACTTAGACGCTTATATATAAGAGAATATTTTTATTGGCGATACTTTTAAGGATTTTTCGAAAATTTTTTTTTTTATTATATCGTAAATAATAAATTAAAATACAATTTGTATATTGCTTCATTAAATGTATATATTTATCGATAGTGCTATTTGAGTTATTAAGTACCGATGCTTAATTTTAAATTCTAGGTACGTAATTGATTTTTTGGCGATGCTAAGGTGGTTAAAGATGATGATAAGCGCCTTTGTAATTTGTGTCTTCCTGGTTCACAGCTGATTATGGTAGAATTATTTTGTAGTGTCGTAATACCGTAGTATCGAAGCAATTCTTGAATGTGTGCAGGTTTGTGGTGCAGACTTCTGATCTACGAATCAGATTTCAAGATTAGGCATAACGTAAAGTGATCAAGAAAATGCCCGTTTTGTCAAAACTCGCTTACTTCTCAAAAATCAGCATAAGAAATCCCCAACCCTAACATAAACGGGCATGAAAAAATTCCGTGTCGATATTGTGGCGCAGATCTCTCTTATACGAGAGCTTTCACAGCAAAAGAAGGCAGTGGGCAAAAAAATTTTGATTTATAAAATTGTATTTCTGATACTAAGAAATTGAGTTTAAAAAAAAATTTTTTTTTTGCCTTCTTTTGTTATGGGGTCCCCAACAGAATTGTTTCAGAAGATTCTCGATTTTTGATTGGAAATCACAACGCCCATTAAGTGAAATTTGTTCCTAAGCCAATTTTACCATTGTGTGGCCCTATTTCTTTGAAAATTGCGAGTTAAATCACGTGAACACAAGCCAATCAAATTATAGAATTTTGATGATCGCCGGCGAAACAATACAAGAAAAACAAAAAAATACAAAAAACGGCTACCTCAGGTAGGTTAAGTAAAAATGTCGGGAATGCAATTTTCCTAATCTAAGATGACCCTAACCCTAAAGTTAATTCAAAAATATTAATTATATAAGTTATCTCCGCTTTAGACGTCCCTATTTTTTGAATGAGAAAGTCAAAAAGTCAATTCGGCCAGAAATTAGTAAACAATTATGTAATGCGGCCAAAATTTTGCAGGTCCACGGCATCAAAATCGGGGACGGGAGTTATGGTAAAGAATTTTTGCTGTGCCACAAACCTGGCACACATTCAAGAATTGCTTCGAAATTATGGCATTACGGCATTACGATATTACAGCGTTACGGCATTACGGCATATAATATAATTTTACCATCTGATAAAATGCCGTAATTCAATAATTCTACCGCCAACTATACAGCTGATAACCCCCAAAAGAATCGAGTTATACGAATTTAATGAATCATTTAAAGCAAGACATGAACATTTTAAATTGCTTTACCAACAGTGAATCAAAATGAAATCTCTACAGTAACTCTGCTACATCTATCTATAACACAAGTGTGCTCAATATTTTTAATTGGGTTAACCTTATCATAAAATGCTAATTTTATTTGGTGAATTGATTTTTTTTTTTAAAAAAAAAATTCAACATTATTAAGTAGCAAAATTGCAATTATCAGCAATTAATTTAAATGTAATTGTTGTTTATTACAATTTTACTTAATTTAATGTAACGGTAATTGTTGTTTATACAATTTTACTTAATCGTAATTACATAAAAATTTAATTGCAATTAAATTTTCGGTACACCTGGAAATAGGAATATCAACGATTGCATTAAATAATTTCAATTTAATTCTACATATTATTGTATACAGTACTGATGTGATCCGTTAATAGATTAGATTCAGCAACCTGGTTAGACGTGTATACAGATTACACACAATTCACGTACATAATTATTTATAGTAACCTTTAAATATTACAAAATTCATTAGATTTTCTAAATATCAATGATATTACTACCGACATTTTTGTTTCGCCGACACTTATTCCACCGACAAGTTAATTTTGCCGACAGTTTATTTCACTGAAGTTTTAAAATAATTCTGGTCATTTTCGTTAGGGTCAGGTCAGAATTAAAGTTAGCA